TGTCTGCTCTTGTTCCTCGTATCGTACTCACTCGAGTCAATCCGAGATGGCCCGAGTGAAGTTTCATACAAATGTTTCGTACGGGAAAAAAAATCGCCAACCGGAGGGCAGTGTAGAACCACAACCAAACTTCAGCTTACAGGTAAGTCTCGTTTAATTGTTTAATTTTGTTGACTGTACTAGGCTAGAGCAGCGAGGCCTGGAGATATACAATAATTTCTCGTATCCAGAGGGTGAGTCGAAAGATGTTTATGATAACGTTATAGATAGGTTTGTGAACTATTGCCAAAAGCGAGACCCCGTAATTGCCATGAGAGAAAAGTTTTGGAATTATCAGCGGCCTGAAGTACAAGGCCTTGACGAGTTTCTAAATGATCTGAGAACAATGGCTGATGATTGTAAATTTCAAGAGGTAGATGCGATTCTTAGAGACAAGTTATTTTTTAGTATTTCAGACCCCACTATGAAGATTAAGGTAATGGGGGACGACGGAAACGCAAATTTGAAAACCGTAGTCAAGCGAATGCGCAACTACGAAAGCTCGAAACGAGAGCTTATGCTAATGACGGAAAAAACCCATGTTGACGAAGTCAAGAAATCACGCGCAGCAACTAGCACGCGGCCCAAGACTCGTATGCCATTCAATGTTGGCAAGCAACCAACAAGTGCGCCCCCACGTAACCAAGGTGATCGTGGTATTCATGAATATTGTATGCATAAACATCCACCGCGTCAATGCCCAGCATGGAATGAAAGGTGTCACAAAGGTAACCGCTTGAGACATTTCAGTAGGAGTTCAATTTGCCCAGCCAGGTATACTTTTAAGTCTAGGTCTAATTATAGAAAGATTCATAGTATTTCTGATGATAAACATGTATCTCATGTAGATAGTGTTAACAACGATTTGTCGTTGAAGTTCGATAATTTCTATATCGACAGTATTGAGAACCATATCACTAATTCTGATACTTGGTGGATTAAAATATGTGTTAATGAAGTTCACAATATCAGTATAAAGGTGGATAGCGGTGCTAATATTAAATGTATGTCAAGAGGTCTGTTCAATAAGATGGCGATTAATACAACAATTCAGGAAAGTAACGCAAAGTTGTTCAGTTATAGTAACTCAGAAATTCCACACTGTGGTGTTGTCAATCTGAAAATTTCACGATGTGATGGAACATAATCAGGCATACATGAGTTCTTTATTACCGATATCGACAGCCCACCTAATCTTGGCCTAAGGTCAACTACTGAATTGGGAATAATATGTCGTAATGTTGATTCCATTAAAATTTGACAACTTTGAAGGCCTTGGATGTTTGGAAAAGCCCTATGAAATTCAATTAAAGGATGGTGCTACCCCGGTTGTACACCGAGGAGGGTTCCCCTAAGTGTAAATGAAAAACTTAAGGCTAAGTTCGATGATATGGAGCAACAAGGTGTAATTTCTAAAACTGACAAGCCCACTGATTGGGTGAGTAGTCTTGTTGTGGAAAAGAAAAATGGCTCTCTGAGACTTTGTCTCGATCCTAAGGATTTGAATAGAGTAATTAAGAGAGAGCATCACATGATTCCAACTACTGAGGATATGTTGAGTAAATTATCGGGAAAGAAATTTTTTACCCATATTGACATGAAAAATGCATACTGGCAAGTGCCATTGACCGAGTCAAGTAGTAAATTGTGTACTTTTAACACACCATTTGGTAGATATTCATTTAATCGTTTACCATTTGGATTATGTAGTGCAAGTGAAGTTGTTTAGAAACGTAATGAACAGATATTTGGTGATCTTGAGAACGTGTTTGTAATCTCAGATGATATAATTGCTACTGATGATTATGAAGCTCTTCATGACTCTGTAATAGTTAAAGTTATGGAACGTGCTAAACATGAAAATGTGAAATTTAATAAGGATAAGATTAAACTTAAAGAACATGAACTAGTATACTTAGGCAAAATTGTTGGTAGAGATGGCATTAAGCCTGATAATTCCAAAGTGAAAGCTATTTATGATATACCTACAACCACTAATAAGTCTGACTTGCGACGTTTAATGGGAATGATTAATTACTTGGCGCCGTTCATTCCGAACATGTCAACAATTAGTGCTCCAATGAGAGAGTTACTCCTATGGTCATGGGAAGCGCGTCATGAACGGTCGTCTAAGAAGTTTGTTAAGCTCTGAGCCTGTGCTGAAATACTTTGATCCGCACAAAGATGTTGTGATTTAGTGCGACACGTCTTCGTTTGGACTCGGGAGTGTTTTAATGCAAGACGGCCACCCCATACACTATAGTTCACGATCGCTAACATCTGCCGAGAAAAATTATTCTCAAATCGAGAAAGAAATGTTAGTTATCTGTTTTTCGCTCGACAAATTCAATCATTATGTTGACGAACGCAAGGTGACAGTTCAATCTGACCACAAGTCACTCGAGTCGATCACTCGAAAGCCAATTCATAAAGCGAGTACGCCGAGACGATGCTACGACTGCTGAAATACGACATTGACGTACGTTCCCGGAAAAGAAATGTATATTGCAGACGCGCTAAGTAGAGCAGTACCAGATAGCGTGGAAGAGCGTGGAAGAATCGCAGCATGAGACGTTGCAGTACCGTGTCCATTCAGTGGATGAACTATTGAGCATGAGCAAACCTAGAATAGAGGAAACCCAACAAGCCACTGTTACAGATGATACTTTACAGCAACTATCTAAACAGTGTCATATTGGCTGGCCTGATCGTCGAAAGCTAGTACCAGTTGAAATAAGAAAGTTCTGGCCGATGCGCGATGAAATCTACGAGCACGACAGACTTTTGTTTATGGGTCACATATTGATAGTACCCGCTAGCCAACAAGAGTTCATGCTTTATCGTATTCATGATGGTCATTTAGGCATGGAGAAGTCGAAGGCCAGAGAGCTGTTGTACTGGCCCGGTATTAGTTCTGGTATTGAGTCCCTGATATCAAAATGTTCTGCATGCACAGAATTCAAAAGGAAGAACCAGCGTGAGCCAATGATTCTGCATGAGTTGCCCAAAGAACCGTTTAATAAGGTCGGCGCTAATATTTTTCATTACGCTGGTAATGATCACTTAATTGTTGTGGACTATTATTCAAATTATCCGGAGGTTGTTACACTATGCAACAAGACTGCTAAAGATGTGATTTGCAAACTAAAATCGATATTTGCAAGACATAGCATTCCGGAAAAATTCATAAGCGATAACATGCCTTTTGCCAGCTGGGAAATGAAACAGTTCGCAAAGTCATGGGGTAAAGAATTGATCACATCTAGCACCACTTATGCCCAAAGCAATGGTCAAGCAGAGTGATGTATTCAGACTGTTAAGAAATTATTAAGGAAGGCTACAGACGACTTTGACAGCAATTTCCATTTAGCTTTGCTGGCTTACCGCGACGCCCCGTTGGGAGGTATTGGTTTATCACCGGCACAACTTCTGATGAATAGGAGGCTCCGAATGCGAATCCCAGCAACGCGACTGACACTTAAACCTAATATCGTATCCAATGCACATGAGTCGCTGATCGCTAGGCAAGACAAGCAAACGCGATACTACAATCGGGGAATACGTTCACTGCAACCATTGAGGGAAGGAGAAGTTGTTCGTCTGAGTAAAGGTCGACAGTGGATACCAGCAAGAGTGATCTCTAAACACGTTACTCCGAGATCGTACTTAGTCGCTACAGAAAATCATAAAATCTACAGCCGCAATCTTCGAGACCTAAATCAGTCGCACAACGAAACAATAAATTTTCAGGGAGAAGTTGGTAATGTCCCCGCGACTCAAGTCGAACCCGCTCGGCCAGAGCAACAGGCGGAGGTTGCGCACGCGACACGACCGACACGGAATAGGCGAATGACTAAACATTTTGAGGATTTTGTTTTGTACAAATAATTAGGGCCGATATGGTCATAAGTTTCCAGTGTTGTTTTCTTGAACATGTTTACTTTTTAAACGAAGGGAGATGTCACATATCCATATCAATATTAGATCATAATATCGTAAGTAGATCATAATACATATGCATGATACAGTATTCCATATTTGGTATTATTATATCCCACGATGCATTGCATGGTGAATAAAGTTTAGTTTCCATCTTGATCTCCAACCTGGTCTCTCATGCGTTATTTCTATGTGCAATTAATAGTTGCATATCTCGGTTCATTAGAGTTTATAGTTTTTATATTGAGCGAACTTGGAAAAGTTAATTTGTACAGTAAATAAATCTAGTAGTAATATACATTTCTATATAGTATCATACAGTAAGTCGCTGAATAGCAGACAAATAGTATCTTCTAGTCAACGCTGGTGTAAGTGAAGAAACTGACAGGTACGTGACTGCACAGTGAAATATGGCTACCTCTCTTGTTATTAATACACCTGCTACAGTGCTACGCTATACGAGTTTGGTTTCAACCAATCACAGCACAGTGAGTGCTTACTTATCGGTCCGCACAGAGAGAAAATCTTTTGGCGGGAAAATGAAAACTGAATGTCCAATCAAAAGAAGACGATGGCTGAAGTCCAATTTGAAGCCTATTTTCCATACGTCGTCATATATAAGGTACAATACAGTATTCCGATTTCATTTGACAGCAGAGGCTCGTTGCTCGTTGGGGTTAGTAGTGAAGTGGTGGCATTTTACGGTCTTTTAAAGAATGTCAACAGATATATATTAATTGATAAAAGAAGTTTGAATTTTCCTCTTAATCATTTCACATTACCTCCTTGTATTAATTACTTTTTTGCTATTTTTGTTTTCTATTTATTTCATTTTTTTTCATTGCATTGAACCGAAAACAATTACAATATACGGTAAAAGGATAAAAACTGTCTGAAAAACAATACAATAAATGTTGGTCTCTCATTCCCCATCAAGGGCCGGCAGCATAACTAAAAAGTAAAATAAATTACTGTCGAAGTGGAACGCCATACGATGTTAGGAATCGGAGAACAAAACAAAGAAAAATGTTAGTTTCTTAATGAGGCATTTTCGACGGGCACGCTACACAATTGAACTGCAGAGAGCCTTAATTCAGGGGTAGTCCCGGCGGAAGGAAAAACAACAAATCATCAGGGAGAATAAATGTAAAGTAACTGAACTTTATTGTACATAGGTTTTTAGATCATTGCAACACATCAGAATGATGGTGCGTTCAATAACATTTACAAAAGGAAGTATAAAACATAAATATAAGAAAAATAAATCTATTAAATACAATGACAAAAACAAAGATATATATATACATATATATACATATATATATATATATATATGAATATGAAATTAAATTTAATGTCAATGTGTGTAATTGTTCATAGCAAATATACTGTAACACTATTAAAAATACAACAACTACTGGTAATATATATCCGTGTACATAGCTTAGTCTTTCCTTACTGTTATTCCAATGTTAACTTACCGCGAAGGCTCTATCACCTAAACACAAATACTGTACTGTACAAGCCGAATGCCGATCTTAAACTCTTATATAGGGTGATGCATGCAAATTCAGGCCTCAGCGATGGACATCATTGTGATTGGTGGTTTGAAATCATAGTGCTGTGGCTGCGTAGCGGAATCTCATGTTAAATTTCAAAAACCCTTTCACGACATTCACAGACCCTCTCTTTCTACCAAATATGTGAGGAGTGGATTTAGAAGGGGGTATGGTAGTTTGTCCTGTCACTGAAAAAAACCCTCGAAGCCTCTGCTATCAACAAAAGCCAAATACTGTACATCATGATCTTAAACTCTTATATAGGCTGATGTCTGTAAATCAGGCTAATTCAGCGATGGGCATATTGTGATTGGTGGTTTGAAACCACTGTGCTGTGTCTAGCGTAGCGGAATCTACATGTTAAATTTCAAAAAACCCTTTCACAACGTTCACCGACCCTCTCTTTCTACCAAATATGTGAGGAGTGGATTTAGAAGGGGGTATGGTAGTTTGTCCTGTCACTGAAAAAAACCCTCGAAGCCTCTGCTATCAACAAAAGCCAAATACTGTACATCATGATCACTTTCACACATCAAGAAACACTTTCACGTCGTTCACACACCCACCCACCCTCTTTCTACTAAATATATGAGGCGTGGAGGCGGTATGAGTTATGAATATGAAATTAAATTTTCTCTCAATGTGAGGTAATGTATGTCCGTGTACATTGCTAAGTCTTTCCTTACTGTTATTCCAATGTTCACTAACCGCGAAGGCTCTACTATCAACACAAGTACATGCCGATCTGAAACTCTTATATAGGGTGATGTATGCAAATTAAGGCTTCAGCTAGGGACATCATTGTGATTGGCTAGATAAGCATATGCGCGTCTATAAAAGCTTAGGAATCATTCTTTCCGCCAAAACCTATTGCGGACGTAATATTTCCAAGTCTGCTGTGCAGCAAAGTAAATTTCAGCGGACTGATTTTGGCTGATGTGGACTACATTTGGCAAGTAATTATGAGGCCAAAATCGGTCCGCCGGACCGATTTTTGCCCCAGACCAAATTTTTCCTGACACGCCGAATACCCGCCTAGGGGCCTATGCTTATTTTATAGGCGTACTACTCAGCTGGGCTTAGGCCTAGTGTACTGTAGTGCTACTACTAGGGGCCTAGCCTAAGCCTATAGAAGTAGGTACTAGTTATTATTGCTGATTGAAATAGCCAACCAAGCAACATGGCGATTGTAATTATCAGTGAGAGTAAACTAATATTCTAATTTGTTTTTGGTCTTTTTTCTACATTTTTATAAGAGGTTAGACATGGCCTAGGCCCCGGCCTAGGCTAGCCTGTGTGATTTTCATTGTAATACAGTACTACAAAACAAAATCACATCAATTTAAAATCAAATTTCTGAACATACTTGCCTTATATTTTATATTTTAACTAGCAGGTGGTGGTTTTATTGGCAGATTAGTTTGTTTTTAACTGTGTAAGTATGATTGATTTGCATGCCAAGTGGAATTAGTACCCTTATTTTGCTTTGTTTTACCGTACCGTAATTCTCGCCTAGGCCTAGCTGTACGTCTAGCTGATACACAGTGTGGCTAAGGAAAGTTTTGTTTTACAGAACATGTGCAGATTGTGCTTATCTGGATTATTAGCATAACAATACCACACATAAGGTTAATTGGTAATACGCTTCCGAGCGTATCACCTTTGTTTTCGTTCGGATTTTTCTTCTTTATTGGTGATCCGCTCCGCTAGCGGATCACCTCTTGTTATTGTCAGAGATCTTTTTGGTGATCCGCTTCTCGAGCGGATCACCTATTGTAATTGTTCGGATCATCATCTTTTTTTTTCTTTCTCCCCATTTCTGTTCACACGATATCTCAAAATTTCTACGAGTTACGCACACGGTCATTTTATCGATCATTTTGGCTTCCCCTGGAATAGTCACAGTAAGGTTTTCAAGGGGACCAGTCATGCGTGACGTCAGCTACTCGCAATTTTGCGTTTTTACATAATCGATCATATCAGCCTAACCAATTGCTATTTTGAAATCGTATTAAGTGAGCATTAACTTCGGGTCAATGTTAAATGTACGGTACCCTAATTTTACGCGTGTGCCTCGTAACACGTGCGTCAAAATTTCAAAATGCTCGAAATCCCTTTTTGACTAAATTAGAGCACGTTACACGCCATTTTGAGCATTTCAATTGTTTGTTATTCATATCAGGAGTCACTCTTTTGTTGTTATATGACATTTTTTTACATTTTGATGATGTCATCATGTTCAAAATATAGGGTTTTGCTTACACTCCTCATCTTTCTTTCGTCAAACCTTTGATGACCCCATAATCACCTTAATCAGTCGTGATTTCTGAATCATATTTAGTGGGCATAAAATTCAGTTCCTGGTTAAATGTTATGTACCTTATATTTTTGTGCGCGCGTAATAACGCGAGCGTTCGCGTGCGTCAAAATTAAAATATGCTTTATATCATGTCTTTTTTTTTTTAAATCAGTTATAGCTCCTTAGGATGAAAGGTGACCCCCAATTTTTATTACATTTTCTGAAAGCACATGAGTTGTAGATTTGATTTTATATATCATAATAGCTGATCGGACATTGTGACGTCATCATATAGCCATCTGAATTCAACAAACTGAATTTTATCTATGACGTTATTTTTAAAAATGCGCATTTCAGCGTATCTCGCTTATTCTTGGTCGATCGTCTCTAAACTTTGAGTACCTGTATGTTATAGCTAAGACTATTCTCTTTCACATGTGTGACTTCTTTTTACATTTTGATGACGTCATAATGGTAAAATTAAATGCTTTTTCTGACCGCCTCAT